GTGAATACTCCCTAAATTGAAAAATGAAGAAGATAAAGGTGATTTTTAAGATGGAAACAACAGAAGGTGCTTATTTTCAAAGAAGAAATAGAGGTAGAAAATAATGTCTTCCAATCTTTTCCCTTAAAGAAGGTTTTCTTTCAACTTATAGAATTTATCTCAAGAAAAATAGAAAGCTGTTCCCTTTCTGTTATAAAATCACTGTAATATTACCATATTCCTAAGAAACAAAATTCAAGATTTTAACATTTTGTTTTATATGGCTTAAGAATTTATTTCCCCACTATTAAGAGTAGTATTTCTTATCTTTTAAAACCCATGACCGGCCTTCCCTGGTGGCGCAGTGGTTGAGAGTCTGCCTGCCAATGCTAGGGGACCCAGGTTCGTGCCCCGGTCCGGGAAGATCCCACATGCCACGGAGCAGCTGGGCCCGTGAGCCATGACCGCTGAGTCTGCGCATCCAGAGCCTGTGCTCCGCAACGGGAGAGGCCACAACAGTGAGGGGCCCGCGTACCGCAAAAAAAATAAATAAATAAAACCCATGACCCCTTTTGATTTATTAAAAAATCTATGTTCTCCTTTAACATTGTTCATATTTTTTAAATAAATTCATTTCTGTGTTTAAAACAAAAATTAAAGGACATGTTATTGGTACCTTTTTTTCTTTTTTTTTTTAACAAAATTTTTCTTACTTTCCTCTTGTTTAGGCGTAGATTTATAACCCTTCCTCCATGAGAAAGAATATCCCTTCCTTCTCCTTTGCTGAGAGTCTACTAATTAGAGATTGTAGTCATTACAATTATGGCTTTCAATTGAGTAAAACATGGGATATTATCACTTTTTGTTTAGATGAGATCTGGTCACACAAAAGTTTAACAAATGAGGTATTAAAGGCATTACATTTCTCTAATGATTTGACCCTAGTTTGCTCTTTCTTTTGGGATGAAATCATATATGTATTAAATACATTATGTACATTGACACTGTTAAAAAAATCCCATAAAGACAAGACATTTCATTTTAAAACTAAAACAGATATAAGCTGGTAAAACAAAAAAAACAGTTCATCTTTCACAATTGTGAATCAGTTTCACGTCACATTGGTTGTGCTCTTGTGAGTAGAGCAAAACAAATGCAGGGAAGATTGCTCCTGTGAGCTTTAGTTATTGCCAGCTATAATTCTGCAGTACTGGTTATCTACGTCATGTAGTATGAAAACTTAGCTTTTGAGGCTCTGTGTATGAGTTACACGTGAGTGCATTGAGCATCAAGTTCTTCTGACCCTTAAATTTTTTTTTCTTTTGACATTCTAGATCGGGGCAGGGAGGAAAGCTGTGTCAGAGTTGGACAGTTTTGCGTCTGATTGTGTCCCCTATATGTGTTTTCTCTCCTTTTCCCATTCTAGAGCGTGACTCTAAAATAAAGTGTGTTGTATTACACCAGAATAGAGCAGTATTAGTGGAGTGGTGGTAAATTGTTATAAGTGAAGTTTTTCATTTCCCTTTTTATTCATTACTTCTGCAATAAGATTCTATACTTGCTTTAGCTTTGTCAAGTTGGTTACAGTGGTTGGTAAAATAAGTGAAAACAGGTGTGACCTTAATTAAAGGCATAAACAATCACATCTGTTTTGGAGAAGTGCTACTTTCATTTTTGTTAAATAGAAATGGAGTTTATAGTTTTTATAATTGTTTAGTTTTCTAACATCTTTCTGTCTGACTTGGCAGCAGGGCACAATAAGGTGTTCTTACCTTAAATGTGGGGCTTAGAGTCCTATTTCTCTTTTTTAGTTTGAAAACCAGGCCAGGAAGAGCAGGGTCTGAGAAGGTAAAGATTTTGCTTAAATAATTGACTAGGCAATACATGGAGTGGAGCTCGTTATTTCAGGATAAATTGGGTCCTAGCTTTACATGATTATTTTCCTTAATTCTAAAATTCAGTGTTTCACTTTACTTATTTATTTGCATTATTAAGATAGATCCAGAAGAGTTGAGTTTTCCTTTAAGCTGATTACATATATACAGATAGTTGGTTGCGAAAGTATTTATTTGATATTCCAGTTTGCCCTATTTAAAGTGATTGTGTGTTAACAGTTATGTAAATGTTCCCCATTAAAGCAGGTTAGATGTTATCATAACTTCTTGACTGGCTAAGCTAGTTTTTATCATTTTTTAATGTAACCCTAATTCTAAAAAAAGTTGTGTTTTAGTTAATTGCACATGGCTGCTATAAAGTGTTTAATGCATTGGGCACTATAGTAACCATGTTTTAAGTACAGCAGAAGTGGCTCCACGTGTTGGCTTTTGCAAGGAATTATAAAAGTCATTGTGTAAACCTATCCTGACTTGGTGCAGCCTGTCCATTTTGAAAAGCCACGTGCAGATTTGAGATTTTGAGATTGGAGCTCACGTAGAAAGATTGAGGTAGCAAAATATTTTTAAAATTATTCTCTGATGGCCTCAATGATAATGCTTTAAGAGTACATAAAGTTTTGAATCCCCCCTCTTTTTTAAATAGACTGTGAAGACTGCTGAGAGACACTTGCAGTCCAGTCACATAAGTGTAATAAAGAAACATTGGTCCTCATGGAAGAAGAGCAAGATTTACCAGAGCAACCAGTAAGTATTTCCTTTACAATTTAAAGTTGATTGTAGAAAAGCTAATCTTAAGAGGTGTTAAATATTATTCAGTTGTACTACAGATTCTAAATCAGAAATAAAATTAAGGAAAGGAATCCTTAATACTTTCCTTCTAAGAAACGACGTTCTGTGTTCCTAAATTCATATTTTGCTAACTTAATGCCAAGAACTTGCTTAGAAAATTCAGCATTACAAAATAAATATTGTCTTTAGAAGTGTCATTTAAAAAAAGCAGTGGCTACTCTTACAGTTTTTAGAAAATAAAAGAGGACATCTATTTACCAAACAGTATTTACCATTTCTGCCAGAAAATCTAGTTTTATCATTACCTAAATTTCCCTGACTTAATTTTTTTTTAAGTAGTAGTAGTAGTTGAAGAAAGTATAATTTGACCACTAGCTAATTCTTAAAAATAGATAAGACCTTCAAGAATAGGTTGAATTCTTAATTTCTTTTAAATATTTAACATAAATAAAATCATTTTAAATGTCCCCAAGTGATACAGGTTTATTGCCTTGCCATGGCTTTTTTGTTTTTGTTTTTTCCTAAGTGTTTTTTGACCCTTAGCATTTAAAAAAGGAAGGTAATAGTAATCATTCTATTAAGATACTTTTGTGTTAAAGAATCTTTTCCTTTTGGCTTGACCTTCTTTTTCTGAAATTAGATAAATACTGATTCAATTTGCTATTCAATTTGCTCTCCTGAACGAGCCTCTTGCATTTTATATTAAGAGAGAATATAGAGTGGTACCTCCCTATGAAAATCCAACCTAAAAAACTTTGAATTTTGAAAGCAGATAATAGGGTATGTTTTTCATGTTCTAGATGTATTCTTTACATCAGTGATATATTTTTAATATTTTACTTTATGTTGAGAATACTGGTGCATACTGGTGATTCTTTTGCTATTAGTCTTTTAGCCCCTCACTTAAGTATAAAACTAGGAAAACATGAGCAGTTGGTAAAAGGACCTTTTGAAACATTTAAAATGTCACCCCATATCCCTGGTGGAACATTAATAATCAGGGAAATGGTAGGGTTAAAAATCATCCTCAGTGGTATATCTAAGATATACACTATAAGAACAAATAGCTGAATTAGAGACACTAAATGTACCAAAGAAGATTCTGTCATTGAGTTTTTAATATGGTAAGACAAAGGTCTAGTCATAGTTTCAAAAGACTTATGTAAGTGTTGACGTACTGTTGAAATGAGTATTGTTGTTAGTCACTCCTTACCTATTTAAGGTAATGAGAATTGTGAAGCTGACGTGCTGGTGAGTCGTTTTTTCCTCTCTGCTTTATTTGTTTGCTGTTCTGTTCAGTATCTATAATATGATGTGCAAAATCTGATTATTACTTCAGAGAAAGGTAAGAAATTAAAGTGCTTTAAAAACAAATTTTCTGGGAATTCCCTGGTAGTCCAGTGATTAGGACTCTGTGCTTCCACTGCCAGGGGCCTGGGTTCGATCCCTGGTTGGGAACTGAGATCCCACAAGCCAAGTGATGTGGCCAAAAAATTTTAAAAAGAAAATTTTTTTTAAATACTAAAAAAAAATTTTTTTTTAACCCACAAATTTTCTGCTGACTATAAATGGTGATTGTCATGAGGCATCTTTTTTTTTAATTGATTGTACCTGGGTCTTAATTTATAAATTTATAAAGGTGATTGAGTGACTACATGAAGAGGTCAGTGCCATTGAAAAAAAAGAAGAAGAAAAAAAGAAGTTTGGACTTCCCTGGTGGCACACTGGTTAAGAATCCGCCTGCCAATGCAGGGGACACTGGTTCGAGCCCTGGTCCAGGAAGCTCCCACATGCCGCGGAGCAACTAAGCCCGTGTGCCACAACTACTGAGTCTGTGTGCTACGACTCCTGAAGCCTGGGAGCCTGGAGCCTGTGCTCTGCTACAAGAGAAGCCACCACAATGAGAAGCCCACGCACCACAACGAAGAGTAGCCCCTGCTCGCCGCAGCTGGAGAAAGCCCGTGTGCAACAACGAAGGTGTAACGCAGCCAAATAAATAAATAAATTTATGTTTTTAAAAAGTTTCATGTTACATTTCTCTTAGAGATGAGAGACATAGCAGACCACACAGGGTCATGGGGGTAAGCACCAGTGTCATTCAGGAGGCAGAGATGCATAGGGGAATTGTAAGAGAATGCATAGGCTACAGCCTTAATTGAGGTTTCCACAGGCAAGGTGAAGCAACGTAACATAGGGTAATTGTTTATTTAGGATTGGCTAGTTTGAATAATTCCAGAGGGTTTTGGGGTATAGAAGCTATCACTAGGTATCTGACACTGGGTTGATTTTACAGCAGGGGAATATAGTTCAGAGTATTGTTCAGAATATATGCTCTAGATTGCAGGGGAGATGTAAGCAACTTTGGCTCTTAGTTTGGCACTGTGATTAGTGGGTGCTGAACAGACAAATATAGAATCTAAGAAAATATAGAGCATTTATTAACTGTTAAAAATAATTAGAATAAGAAGAGTAAATGTCAGATGTTGAGGAGTAAAGCTAATTTTCACAGGCTGTAGTAGAAATCTAAAACTTGAGTGGAAAGAATGGTCCTGTCCCAAGTTGATGATGATAAAGCCATGATGTAAAAAAAAATTATTTTATTGCGGTATAGTTTATGAGGTATATACAACGTTATGTTAGTTTCTGGTATACAGCAAAGTGATTCAGTTATACGTATATACAATAGTTTGCATCTTCTGATCCCAGACTCCCAACCCATCCCTCCCCAACTCCCCTCCCCCTTGGCAGCCTGTTCTCTATGTCTGAGTCTGTTTCTGTTTCATAGGTAAGTTCAGTTGCATCATGTTTTAGATTCCACATATAAGTGATATCATATGGCATTTGTCTTTCTTTTCCAACTTCACTTAGTGTGGTATCTCTAGGTCCATCCATGTTGCTGCAAATGGCATTATTTCATTCTTTTTTATGGCTGAGTAGTATTCCATTACACACACACAGACACACACACACACACACACACACACACCATACCTTCTTTATCCATTCATCTGTTGATGGACATTTAGGTTGTTTCCATATCTTGAATAAAGCCAAGGTTTTTAACCCTGCTGTTTACTTGTGTATAAAGAGAGATGTTGCTGATGAGCATTACTATTGGAGTTATTTTAATCACATTGTCTCTTCCTTATTGAGTTATCCCTTTCTTGTTTCTGTACTACTTGCTAGCTCTATCTCAAGATTGTTCCAGTCATTGTTCACAATACAACATAAATCCTAGCCTCAGGTTCTCTTTCACTTACCGCTATTGCCAGTCAGTCCTCAATCCCCTGCAGTCAGAAATGGTTCTCTCTATGGTCATCACTTACCTTGAAATCACTCCATCTTTTTACCCTAGTCTTCATCTTCCTCAGCTACTCTGAAGCAGCTCATATTATTGTCCAAACTAGAACTCTTTTGTAGAGTGAAAGGAGGCACTAACCAAACTCGGTTTTAGGATAGGAGTTATAAATTAACACTGTTCCTGGCAAACTAGAAGCACTTAAAAAACTTCTTTATAGCTATCAGGGTGCTCCTTGAGCTCAAGTTTTAAAAGGACATATATACATAGGAAAAATTTTTAGAAGACTATACACGAAACTTAATACTGAAATCATGGAGGTTTGGGGGCAGAATAAGGTCTTTTATATTTTATTTTATACATATCTGTATGGTTTGGGTTTCTAAAAATATGAGCATACGTGCCTTTTGTATTTAAATATTAAAAAAAAATTAGTAATACTGTAGACAAAAGAGGTGGTACATGATTACAACCACAGTGTACTCTAGGCTAAAACATGGAAAAGGAGTGAAGCTTGGGAAATATTCTTGATTGAGAGCAATGAAAAGGACCCTAAAATTTGTGGGTTTGGCTTGGAGAATAAAAGGATGGAATAAGTGGCAAAGAGAGAATGACTATACCCAACCCCTAATTTCTTTTTGTCTTATCGATAAAGGAAAGTAATCTTTGCCTTCCTTGGTGGCACAGTGGTTGAGAGTCCGCCTGCCGATGCAGGGGACACGGGTTTGTGCCCCGGTCTGGGAAGATCCCACATGCTGCGGAGTGGCTGGGCCTGTGAGCTATGGCCGCTGAGCCTGCGCGTCCCCGTGAGCCATAGCCGCTGAGCCTGCGTGTCCGGAGCCTGTGCTCCGCAACGGGAGAGGCCACAACAGTGAGAGGCCCGCGTACCGCAAAAAAAAAAAAAGAGAGTAATCTTCAAACTATAAAGGATACCATATCAATTAAAAATATTTTATTTCCACATTTATAAGCAGGTACCTAAGTTATTTCAAATGAGTTCTAATTCTCTAGACTCCCCCCAGTAAAAAGACTGGGTTTGGTGCTCCTTCTTTGTGTTCCATAGAACCTTGAACTTCTAGCAGAATCATTATTTCACTATTTTATTTATTACTTTTTAAAAGTTTTATTTATTTTTGGCTGCGTTGGGTCTTCGTTGCTGCGTGTGGGCTTTCTCTAGTTGTGACGAGCAGGGGCTACTCTTCCTTGCATGCAGTGGCTGCTCTTGTTGTGGAGCACAGGCTCTAGGTGCACGGGCTTCAGTAGTTATGGCACGCGGGCTCAGTAGTTGTGGCTCACAGGCTTAGTTGCTCCACGGCATGTGGGATCTTCCTGGACCAGGGCTCGAACCCGTGTCCCCTGCGTTGGTAGGCAGATTCTTAACCCCTGTGCCACCAGGGAAGTCCCTGTTTCACTGTTTTAAAAATTATCTATTTCTTTTCAACCAGACTATAACTTCCTTGAGGTCAAGGACTGTATTTTGTTTATCATTATATTCCCTTTCAGGAGGGCTTGGTAGAGAACAGTCAGTTGAATGAATGATAGCGTGAATATGAACTAGAATTCTCACTGTAGGCATTTAACATTGGAGAATGAATCTGCAGTGTATTTTTCTCTCACATTCGTCTCATGTGGATTGACAGCTGTCCTGGGCCAGTCT